TAGGAGTATGATTGTATATTGTATGAAGACTGAAAAGGTTGGAGAACTGTGTTTCAGAATTCTCATTACATTATTATTGACTCAAACTGCTTTTTCGTTGGTGAATGCTTTTTCTTTTGAATTCTCACATAGAGCTTTTGTTTTGAATTAGATAGAACTGCTTAATTTCTAATTTAAACATTTTTATTTCAAAAAAAAAATTAGGTAAACTCTAGATTCAATATAGAACACATTTTTTTTCAAAGAAACTGAAAGAACGATTTGGAGCATTTCAAAAAAAGAAAGTGGAAAGGGGTGTTTGACAATTGATTATTAGCTGTTGGTAGGCATGGACTCGGGCCAGGTCGGGCCTCGGGCCGATACCTATTTTTTTTGCTTTTCTAATTAACCCCCCCCCCCCACCTTCACCCCCAAACCACCCCAAAACACCCAGCCCAACCCGTGAAAATAAAAAAAAAATTGAAAAAAAAAATTAAAAAAGCCTGAACCGGGCCCGCCCCGGCCGGACCGGTTCCTAATTTGGGTGACCCGAGCCTGCCCAACTTAACCCCCGGGCTGGGCCGGTTCCAAACAGTGTCGGTTCTGGGCCGGGCGACCCGATCTGAGTCCATCACTAGCTGTTGGCTAATTGCGTTAGCTGATTGATAACAACAATTTGTATTGATTGTCTTGATTAGCTGATAGGATTAATAGATTGTCAAATGGTGTTTTGGTTATATTACTGTTTACAATCAGCTGATAACTTGTTAAATGACTTTTAAGAAAATCAATTAATTTTTTCTTAATATAGTTAGTTCAACTACTTAAACTGTTTTTATAATTTTTTATTTTTAGTTTTATGTTTTTACGATTCTTTCAAATAACTGTTCTTAATTATTTTAAACATTTTCTCATGAATTATTAAATTTAATTAAGAAAAATGATATCTAGAACTTGAAACTTGTAAATGGTAAATCGTGTACAATTATAAATTATTATTAAGAATAAACTTGAAATAAATTTTCCCATCCATCCGACTTGTTTTTTTAGGCAGAACTTGGTCAATCCCAAACTAGACTTCCTACTATTATGTCCAAGAAGTTATCATTTCAACCTTAGAACATTATATATATATATATATATATATATATATAGGGGGCGGTTCCGGTGCAAACCAAGCTTCCGGTGCTAACCTACAAACTAATCTCATGCGTTCAAATTTGGCAAATCAAAGGCTGTCAATATAGAAGCCACCGTAGCAGACCGTGTGGTGCAACACACAAAACTGAAAACATACGGACACGATTAGTAAGTAAGGTTAGCATGGTAAATTAACATTTTTAATAAATGAGACACCATGATACGTAAGGAAATCCCAATAGTTTGGCTGACCCACGATTACAATTTCAAGCAATTTAGCAAATCAATAAAAGGGAAGATTTAACCACTTCCTAAATAACCTTCCTTTTTCTGAAACCTAAAATATTAAAGTTATGTAATATTATCCTCTATTTTTTTTAATCGCAACATGTTGAATTTTACACTATTCAAATGCTCTATTTGGACTACATTTTACACTATTATTTTATGAAAATTATTTTTAAAAAAATATTGTTCAATTCATCTCATTACAAATTTTCAAAAACTGATTTTTAATTTTTTTTACTAATAGAGAATAACATATATTTACGGTCAAATATGTGCGTTGGCAAATGTGAAATGTTGACTGTTGCAACTAAAAAAGAACGGAGGAAGTATGCATTATATATTGATAATGGTGTGCATAGTTATGTTAGAACTTGTAATTTACGTAGTATTAAGTTTTTATTATTAAGAACTCATCACAGGTAGAAATGTCTGCATATTAAGGTTACGAGATTTGCATATTAAGGTTGATGAATGTGCATATTAAGGGTACATGATGTGCATTATATATTTATAATGTCTCCACAACTTATATTAAAACTATACAGTAATAAAATATGTTGGCGCTGCATTTTAGTAGTTCATATATTGCTTTTATCATTTTGACATGTGCACTTTAGAAGTTTTTATATTGCACTTCATTAAATAAGTTGATATGTGCATTTTAAAAGGTCATACTACATCTTGTTTTTATGACGGCTGCATTTTAGTAGCTCAATGTTGCATTTTATCCTTCTGATATGTGCATAATAGAAGTTTGTATATTGCATTTTAGTAAGGTGACATATGCATCGTACAAGATCATTTGATGCATCTTATAGTTGTGACATCTGCATGGTAGATTGAAGTGATATGCATATGAAACTTATGGTGTCGCAAGCTGCATAATATTTGACAAACGTCTTCTAAATGGTAAACGTTTTGCATACTAAATTACAAGAATTTTGCATGAACATGAAATGGATCATTTGCTGCATTGTAGAAGACCATTTGCTGCATCTTATCTTTATGACATTTGCATCGTAGAAGACCATTTGCTGCATCTCATCTTTATGATATTTGCATTGTATACTCAATTGACAACATACAAATTTCATGGTGTCGCATGAAGATGGAGATGGATACATAGACAGATGTCTGCATCTATATCATAAAAATTCACCCCAATGCTCTAGCAATTGGCTGCATAACCTGCTAATTGACCTTGTACCTCCTCAAACACCTATCCCCCTTCAGAACAAATTTGTGATGAAAATCCTTATAAGCAAGATCATCCCTTCTCTGTGGCCCAAGAAATTGTTTAGAAATTGACATTAAAAAAAAGGAAATTAACGAAGACCACATATGTAAAATGAAGTTCAACGAATAAAAGTAAAGTAATTAAACAAAAAAGAGAAGGAAGATGATACTATCAACGTTTAATATACACATCAATCAAATAAATAAAATCTTATGCATAGTGATTCATGAATACATTGAAAGATGATAACCACAAATTTCCAGTATAAAATTGGAGTTCATACAGAATACTGGATTCTATGGCGTTTGATAGCAGTGATTGAAAGAGATTAACCAGAAGCTTTGATATTAGTGACAGACGAAGAGAAGCAGAGAGATGGAGACGACTAGCTATTAATCGCAGAGATGGAAGGGAATTAATGAGAATTGCAAAGATGGAATGGATCTAACGAGAGTAGGCGGTTAAGGAATGGAACGTGATTCTTCCAGTATTAGATTTAAGTCAAATGACTAAAACATCCTTATGTGTAATAAGCTTGTTGTCTTCAAACCTGTAGAACCGAACGGTTATCTAATTAGATGGAGGGTTAGGATTAGGTTTGTAGGTTAGCATATTAGGATGGGTTTGCATTTGATCTCTCATCTATATATATATATATATATATATATATATATATATATAGGAAATCTTTCCGGCAAGGTATACCTTAACAGAGCCGCCGTGCGGCCTCTCCGTTTTGAGGGCCTTCCCGGTGGAATTTTTCGATAAAATATTTTGAGCATGTTCTTCATCAGGTCTAATACATTCATACCAAATTTCAGCAAAAAATGCAATCGGGAAGGCAGCCAAACAATTTTTGGAAGATAACTGTGTTTTATATGTATATAAAGGGTGCAGTTATCTTCCAAAAATCATTTGACTGTCTTCCCGATTGAATTGTTTGCTGAAATTTGGTATGTATGTACTAGACTTGATGAAGAACATGCTCAAAAAATTTCATCGAAAAATTCCACCGGGAAGGCCCTCAAAACGTGGAGGCCGCACGGAGGCTCCGGTAAGGTATACCTTACCGGAAGAGCTCCCTATATATATATATATATATATATATATATATATATATATGGAGCATTTCTAATGAGAACCATAATTAACGTGAGAACCATGCACTTTTAACACATCTCGATGCACTATGAGACTCATCTATTGCACTTTTTAAATTTTGATCAAAACGTGCTAATATCAAATAAATGTGGTGTCAGATTTCTAAATATTTTGTCAACATGAAAATGTGCAACATATACATGATATAGTGCATCACATCTGCTTAAAAGTGGTGTTCTCACGTTCTCACGTTAAGCATGGTTCTCATTTGAACCTATACACACACAGAGAATTTCATCTTGTTAAATAAATTGCAATCAATGTCTCTCTAGTTTTGGTTACTTATTTTCACTTAATGCCTCTCTAATTTTGGGACAATTCTCATTTAAAAAGAATAACACTGCTACAAATCTGTGGACGTCTCTAGGCTTTTCCCTAGCCAGTTTTTACCGGCGGCGGCTTAGCCAATCAGTCCGGAGGGTCTCTACCAAGTATGGTTAGTCGAGTCTTGTTCGTTGTCTCTCTAGCCTTTATTTGATTCGTGCAGGTAAAGACGGGAAGGGGTGTTTTGTTGAAGGATTGGATCTCCGAATTGAGTAGCAAAGTCACAGGACGGTGGGTGATGATGAGTGTTCTCGTCAAGGGTGGAAAGCAAGTTCCCTTCGTCCTTGTTCAATCTGCTGGTGGCCGGCCGAATCGGACATGGCCATTAGGGATCAAGAGGTTATAGTCTCATCGCTGGTGTTACTGGTTTCGATTGGGGTGATTTCAGGAATGTCTCAAGATGAAGGGATGATGATCCGTCCCCCTCCTGAGCCACCGCCGAGGATGATGCTTGAAGAAGGATTTTAGTTGCTATGTCAGTTTATTTTATTTAAATTTCATTTTACTGTTTTTGAGTTTCTTAGGCATGAAAACTGTAGTTGTAGTTTTCTACTATTGCTATTTCAGTCAGACTCTTACATTAGGTAGGGGTGATGAGGATTTTGCTCTGGCCACGTTTGGCTCATTTAGACCCATTACAGGACAAACGAATCATATTACTCTATCCAGGGTGATTGGTTCTCCAGCGAGTCCGGGGGTAGGTGGCTGGAAGTGTTTTCTTTATCGTTCGTATCCCTTGTTGAATGTTTTATTATCAATATAAAGGCTCTATGTTACAAAAAATTACAATCACTGTCACGCCCCAGACCGCAATCCAAGCGCGTGTACAACCGCCGTATAATCAAGTGACGTCACCCGCGAGTCAACCTCACTTGATTACACAAGGCGTTCGAGAAAATAATCCATCCATACTCAGTAGTAAACATACATAACAACATCCCATATAAACCAATGAATAGCGGAAATATTCAACGGTAAGTCATAAGCCACAACCGGCCAATAACATGGGCATGCAAGCCCCAAAAGAATAGTTTATGACAAATAAAAACATCCATGAGCAATGTTTGGTAATTTGAAATAAAATGAGGAAGCACGAACCACGTCTTCCTTGATTTGATGTCACCCGTAGAAAGGTGCAGGTAGCAAGCCCTAGCTTCAACCTGAAAATGGTGGGGCCCCCCGAAGGGGTCAGTACAAGTACCGAGCGAGTAGCAGGCTAAATATAGAATAACTATCGTTTCAAGTATAAGACCCAAACATAGGGTGATACATATACGTATAGTCCTTTTCCCAAGTTTGAAATACATATTAGAATACATACACTTGGAAATACCCGACCCGTAGGTCATTGTTTATTTGGGAAAATAATAGTAGTCAATATCCTTGACTTAAATCCCAACCCACCCATATACCTATGAGTGTATAGAACTCCTCCTTGTTCAAATAAATTATCATAAGGACACCGCCCGGTCCTAGATCATTAAATGTAATCTATGAGTTTTGAGGATACACGCCCGATCCTTGGGTACTCCACCCTATAACCGAGTTTTGAGGATAACCGCCCGATCCTTGGGTACTCCACCCTATATAACCGAGTTTTGAGGATAACCGCCCGATCCTTGGGTACTCCACCCTATATAACCGAGTTTTGAGGATAACCGCCCGATCCTTGGGTACTCCACCCTATATAACCGAGTTTTGAGGATAACCGCCCGATCCTTGGGTACTCCACCCGACCTATGACTTACCACATATCACGCTAGATAGGGTCTATATCATATTTAGTCATTCATAACTAATTCAATACATAAAACTTATGTATCACATTCCATGCAAAGCCATGCAATTATGTAAATGTACAATTAATTAATATCGACCGGTATTAATTAATCCATTATCCACCGGTCAACGTGGTCGTTGACCGCCATTACAAACCTTGTACAAATCAACTTAATCATCACATAATTAAGTTAAAATATTCATTTGTGCTTCTAATACACTTCAAGCAAATATGCATTCTATATAATTCTTCTTATCATATTCTATGCATAAACAATCTATTTCTTTCATACAAACTTAACCCTATTGGCTAATCACATGTTTAAATATCTTTTAAACATTATTATGAATTCATATAACATTTATTTAGGTAATCTTATAATTAACCCAAAAGTTATAAGATATTAAGCCGTCCACTCACCTTGAACTAGCGTTATGAAGTTCTACCCCTCTTGGTGGAACTCCGGTGAAACTCCGGCGACTTTCGGTCAACTCCGGCGACAACTCCGGCGACTTTACCAACTTTGTGAAATCACTTGAAATACCTTTCACAAGTTCCTAACAAGGTTTTATAATCATAAAACCCATATTAATACAAATAACTTCAAAACGGTTATTTTCCGGTGAACCGGTCGTTTTGGCTTCTAAGTCCGTTCTTGGACATAGAATCATTTTCCAACCCATTAATCCATACTTATAACATGTAGAACCCCCTTAAGGATTCTTCACATGATATATATCTCATATGGTAGAAGGAAAATAAAGAAAAAGTTATAATAAGGTCATTACCTAAATCCTTTCACACTTTTAGCACTTTAGCTCCTTTTCTTGGGATTCCTTCTTGTTGAGCTCCCTTCAACAATGGAGAAAGGAGATGGAGAATTTTCTTGGCTTCTTTTCTTGAGGTTCTGGCCGCAGGGGCGAGGGGTGAGGGAAGGTGAGAATAGTTCTTTTGACTTAATGATCAAATGAGTGTGGATGGGATCCACCTCAATTTGTTTGATTCCTATTCTTTCACTTCATAACCTCTCCCATGCCTCCCATCTTACACCAGCCGACCAATGCCTTGAGAAATGAGGCTAATTTCGTGGGTTGGCCCCCACCCATGTGGGAGGTCAACCCTTTTTGTCCAGAAGTGTACAATCGGTCCCGAAAGTTGTATTTTTCGGACTGTTTTAATCATAATTTATTTTATCGGGTAAAATAAAATATATTATGTGTTCCCAATCATAACGCCCCTTGAAATAATATATATTCCAAAACTTTAATTTGGAAGTCTCCGAAATTCATTTTCGGGCTGTTATCTGTTTAATTGTCGGTACCGGTAATTGGGCTTCTTTTGACCAATCGGTCAACTCTGGGCCTTTCCATGGCCCAAATGAAATATCCACCACTATATATTTATTATCTAGACCAAGATGAATAAAATATATGGTCTCGGGAATGTCGGGCGGCCCCCGCTCCCGGTGTGGGTCCCACGTGCAATTTACTATTCACGCGAAAGAATTAATAAAAATTTACAGCTTCGTAAATTCGTAAATCCTTTAATAAGGTTCATTACATTATTTACATAAAAGTAAATATATTTGGGGACGGTGTTACAAGTTCACCCCCCCTTATTTGGGATTTCGTCCCCGAAATCCAAGTATCTAATCGAAAAGAGATGGGTATTGCCCCCTCATTGAGACCTCGGTCTCCCAAGTTTCTTCTTCGACTCGATCACTCCTCCAAAGAACCTTTACCATAGGAATCTCCTTATTCCTAAGCTTCTTCACTTGTTGACCAACAATCTTCACTGGTTCCACCGCATATTGCAAGTCCTCACGGATCTCTACCGGTGGTTTCTCAAGAATATGAGATGGGTCACGTATGTACTTCTTGAGCATCGATACATGAAATACGTCATGTATCCTCTCAAGTTCTGGTGTTAACTTGAGACGATAAGCCACGGCCCCAATCCTTTCAAGGATTTCAAAAGGACCGATGTATCGTGGGTTAAGCTTTCCCCTTGATACAAATCGAATGATGCCCTTCCAAGGAGAAATCCTTAGGAAGACCTCATCACCGACTTCGAACTCCAACGGTCTCCGCCGTTTATCAGCATAACTCTTCTGTCGGTCCTGAGCAGCCTTCAATCTATCCCGAATGATCCTTACCTTGGCCTTGGTGATCTCAACCAGCTCTATCCCTTCGAGTTTGGCCTCGCCAACCTCGTCCCAACACAACGGTGTTCTGCACTTCCTCCCATACAATGCCTCGTATGGAGGCATGCCAATACTTGCTTGATAACTGTTGTTATAAGCAAACTCCACTAGAGCCAAATGTTTGTCCCAACTTCCTTGGAACTCCAAGGCACATGCTCTAAGCATGTCTTCCAAAATCTGTATCACCCGCTCGGACTGTCCATCCGTCTGTGGGTGAAAAGCTGTGCTAAACTTCAGTTTAGTACCCAACGATGCTTGAAACTTTGGCCAAAATCGGGATGTGAATCGTGGATCCCTATCCGAGACAATGGATATTGGGACTCCATGTAATCTCACGATCTCCTCCGTGTATAGCTTGGCCAACCTTTCAAGGGGATAAGTAATGTTGATAGGCAGAAAGTGTGCACTCTTGGTGAGCCTATCAACTACCACCCATACTGCATCGTAGTTGTTCACTGTTCGTGGCAGCCCCACCACGAAGTCCATGGTCACATGTTCCCACTTCCACTCTGGGATGGTGAGTGGTTGTAAGAGCCCTGCTGGGTGCTGATGCTCTGCCTTAACTTGTTGGCAAGTAAGGCATCGACTCACAAACTCCGCAATATCCTTCTTCATGCCTGACCACCAGTAACTTTCCTTCAGATCTCGGTACATCTTAGTACCCCCTGGATGCATGGCATATGCTGAAGAATGAGCCTCCTCAAGTATAGCCCTCTGGAGCTCCTCATTCTTTGGTATGCACACACGATCCTTAAATAATAAAAGACCGTCATCACGTACCCGAAAATTCTCGACGGGCCCCTCAAGGATCCGTTCGCGGATCTTCTGACATTCCTCATCAATGGCCTGACATCTACTGATCTCACTCAGCAATGTAGGCCTCACCTCGAATCTAGCAATGAGCGCCCCGCTCGTGGATACCTCCACGCGTGCCCTTAACACTCGTAGACAAGTAAGTAACGTCCCTGACGTACTCTTCCTGCTCAGTGCGTCGGCCACTACATTGGCCTTTCCGGGATGGTAGTCGATGATCAAGTCATAGTCCTTGATCAACTCCATCCATCTCCTCTGCCTCATATTCAACTCTTTCTGAGTGAATACATACTTCAAGCTCTTATGATCGGTATAAATGTGACACGTCTCCCCGTAGAGATAATGCCTCCAAATCTTTAATGCAAACACTACCGCCCCCAACTCTAGATCATGGGTAGGGTAGTTAGCCTCGTGTTTCCTCAATTGCCTAGAAGCATAGGCAATCACCTTACCGTTTTGCATTAGTACACATCCAAGCCCTTGGATGCTAGCGTCGCTGTAAATGTCATACCCTATCCCCTGTATGGGTAGGGCAAGGACTGGTGCTTCGGTAAGTCGTTTCTTGAGTTCAAGGAACCCTTTCTCACACTTGTCATCCCATATGAACTTGGCCCCTTTCTTTGTGAGCTTCGTTAATGGAGACGCCAATACAGAGAATTTTTCAACAAATTTACGATAGTATCCCGCTAAGCCAAGGAAACTACGTATCTCTTTCACAATCTTGGGTCTCTCCCAATCCATGATAGCTTTTATCTTGGCATTATCCACAGCTACGCCCGAACCGGATATGACGTGACCGAGAAAACCAATCTCCTTGAGCCAAAATTCGCATTTAGAGAACTTGGCAAAGAGTTGCTTTTCCCTTAGCCGATCAAGTATAAGCCTCAAATGATGTTCGTGCTCCTCCTCACTCTTGGAGTATATCAAGATATCATCAATGAATACTATCACAAATTGATCTAAGTATTCACTAAACACCCGGTTCATCAAGTCCATGAATGCTGCCGGTGCATTGGTTAAACCAAATGACATCACAAGAAACTCGTAGTGACCATATCTAGTGCGAAATGCACTCTTAGGTATGTCACTCTCCTTGATCTTCAACTGGTGATACCCCGATCTCAAGTCAATCTTCGAGAATACTATGGCCCCTCGAAGTTGATCAAACAAGTCATCGATCCTAGGTAAAGGGTACCTGTTCTTGATTGTGACCTTGTTCAACTGTCGGTAGTCGATACACATTCTTAGCGTACCATCTTTCTTCTTTACAAAGAGTACGGGTGCTCCCCACGGTGAATGACTGGGTCTGATGAACCCGTTGTCCAGTAGCTCTTGTAGTTGGACCTTCAACTCTTGAAGTTCGGCCGGTGCCATTCGATAAGGAGGAATCGAAATGGGTTTGGTTCCCGGCTCCACTTCGATTACAAATTCAATCTCTCTATCGGGTGGAAGCCCCGGTAGGTCCTTGGGAAAGACGTCCGGGTACTTGCACACGACTCGAACATCCTTGATGTCGACTTCTTTCTTCGTATCATCTATCACGTAAGCAAGGTATGTGTGGCATCCCTTCCTCATCATCTTTCGTGCTCTCATCACGGATATGATACAAGCATTAGACTTTCCCCGATCTCCTTCAAAACGTAGCATATTCCCTTGATCATCCTCAAGCTCCAACACCTTGGTGTAGCAATCCACTCGGGCATGGTGTTTCTCGAGCCAATCCATTCCTAGGATTGCATCGAACTCCAACATGCTCAGAGGTACGAAATCACAAGTCAAAGGTTGACCCGTCACTTCTACCTCACACGAGGGATAGTAATGATCCCTCTCCACGTCGTCTCCTAATGGTGTGGAGACTAGCAATGTTTGTGTCATAGGTGTCAATGGCACGTCGAGCCCCTCAGCAAACGCCTCACTCACAAATGAGCGTTGTGCCCCGGTATCGATGAGGATCCTCGCACACCTACCATTGATCTTTAATGTTCCTACATTTATACACCATGTAAGATACATTTTCTAATGTTTTCACACACCTTTAGGAGGTTATTAGGTTCATACTAATGTTTGGAATCAAACGGGGGTCCAAACGTAGAAGAACGGGGCGAAAAAATCGACTTTCGGGTGTTGGGGGTCCACGCACGACGTGCCTGGGTGGCACGCACGGCCGTGCGTGCAACAAACTCACCCTGCTGGCCACTGCCGGCCAGGCACGATGCCAGGCACGGCGTGCCTGCGGCCGTGCCTGGCCAAAATTTCCTTCGGACGCCACTGCCTTCCAGGCACGACGCCAGGCACGGCGTGCCTGCGGCCGTGCCTGGCCCAAAAAAATTTTTTTTTTTTTTTTTTTTCTTTCTCTTCGGGTGCCACTGCCCTCCAGGCACGACGCCAGGCACGGCGTGCCTGCGGGCGTGCCTGGCCAGCAGTGGCTGTTTCCCGTCCGATTCGGCCTAACTCACCCGGTTCGACCCCGGGGTGGCCCGCACTCAATCCCAACGACGTATATGATCAAAGTAAGCCTAGAAATACATGGGAATACGTGTATTACCTGCAACGGAGTCCGGGTTTGCTCTCGCATCCGCCTCGGTCATCGCGTACACTCGGGCTTGGGTCCCACCTTGGTTGACGGATGCGGCATGGCTTGTGGATGCGCCGCCTCTTCCCGTGCCGCCGTTTGACGGTCCCGCACGGTTCCTTCCCGTCATGGTCCCTCCCCCGGCTCCCGAGGCACTCTCTTGCATCAATTGAGGGCAATTGGCCTTCATATGGCCCGCATTCCCGCACTTAAAACACCTCGGTGGTTCATTGCACTTCCCAAAGTGTTGTTTTGAGCAATTGGGGCATCTAGGTGGCCCCGAGTTCTGTGGCCTAGGTCCGTGCCACCTCGCATCCCTATTCTTCTTTGCCGGTGGAGCCGGCGTCTTGAATGAACCACCGCCACCACCACCCCCGTGGTTGTTCCTTCGAGAATGATCGGGTGGCCCCGAATTATTCCACTTCCTCTTCTTCGCCTCTTCGGCGTCCCTTGCTTTCCTCTCGTTCCATTGGGCCTCTCCAAGCATGCCCTGCTCTACCACCTCACTAAAGGTCATGAGGCGGGAATACGTGGCACGATCTCGGATGTCCAAGAGTAGGGCATCCCAGAAGTGCTCAGTCATGCGGTCCTCATCGATCGCATACTCCGGTAAGAACCTAGCCAAGGTCCTAAACTCCTGCTCCAGTTGCTTAACCGTGCAACCCTCTTTCTGCTTGAGGTTGGTATACTCCCTCCTTTTCACATTAACCTCGAAATCGGAGTAGTATTGAGCATAAAATTCTTGCTCAAAATTTTCCCATGAGATGTCCCCACGGTATTTCCCTTCTACACCTTCCCACCATGTAGAAGCCATCCCTTCAAGTAGCCGTGAAGCGACAGTCAACTTCACATCCGGTGTGATTTGCATGTCTCTTGATGCATCCTTCACCTTCTTAATCCAATCGGCGGCAACGGTAATGTCACCGGTGCCGTCAAAGGACCTACACCCCAAGGCCCTAGCCTCCTTGAGGTACTTGGAGATTCTCACAACAAAACCTCCTTCACGCCCACCTTGTGACGCCGCTGGGGTGGCCACGGAAGCTCCCCGGCTCCCTTGACCCGAACCACCACGAGAGCCACGCCTCGCTTGGCGCCTAAGGTCCCTCCTCAGTTTCTCCTTTTGATACCACTCAAGTAATTCACCCATTTGGGCGAAACGGGCATCACTTTCATCATTGTCCTCATCGGTGTATGTGTCACCCCCATCATATGGGGTCTCCTCATGCTCTGTCTCAGGAACATACGTAGAGTCATAGTCCTCGGTGTTGGTTTCATACACCGAGCTTACATGGCCATCACTCACAGTTTGAGCTTGATAACCTCCACGGCTTCCACGGCCTCCACGGCCTCCTCTTGAACCCCGAGATGCAGCCCGGCTTCCCCTTTGGGATGTTACCGGCGCCTGCCCCCTCGGATTGTTCCTGGTCCGCATTCGCCTGCCCTCCATTTCTGAAAGAAATATGGATGAGTCATTAGACTCCTATAAATGTCAATTGACGGAAGAACGTTACAGACACGTATTGGCCCAAGTCACCACCATACCAATTGTTAAGGGTACCGTCTTAACAATTAGAGGCCTTGCAACTTAAGCTCCAATAGTCCCATAAACGTCAAAATCCAATGCTCATGGTTTTCGGTAAAAACTCTTTCGTAAAATCTCATGTGAGAGGTTGATTATATAGTTTAGAACTGAGATGGCTCTGATACCACTTAATTGTCACGCCCCAGACCGCAATCCAAGCGCGTGTACAACCGCCGTATAATCAAGTGACGTCACCCGCGAGTCAACCTCACTTGATTACACAAGGCGTTCGAGAAAATAATCCATCCATACTCAGTAGTAAACATACATAACAACATCCCATATAAACCAATGAATAGCGGAAATATTCAACGGTAAGTCATAAGCCACAACCGGCCAATAACATGGGCATGCAAGCCCCAAAAGAATAGTTTATGACAAATAAAAACATCCATGAGCAATGTTTGGTAATTTGAAATAAAATGAGGAAGCACGAACCACGTCTTCCTTGATTTGATGTCACCCGTAGAAAGGTGCAGGTAGCAAGCCCTAGCTTCAACCTGAAAATGGTGGGGCCCCCCGAAGGGGTCAGTACAAGTACCGAGCGAGTAGCAGGCTAAATATAGAATAACTATCGTTTCAAGTATAAGACCCAAACATAGGGTGATACATATACGTATAGTCCTTTTCCCAAGTTTGAAATACATATTAGAATACATACACTTGGAAATACCCGACCCGTAGGTCATTGTTTATTTGGGAAAATAATAGTAGTCAATATCCTTGACTTAAATCCCAACCCACCCATATACCTATGAGTGTATAGAACTCCTCCTTGTTCAAATAAATTATCATAAGGACACCGCCCGGTCCTAGATCATTAAATGTAATCTATGAGTTTTGAGGATACACGCCCGATCCTTGGGTACTCCACCCTATAACCGAGTTTTGAGGATAACCGCCCGATCCTTGGGTACTCCACCCTATATAACCGAGTTTTGAGGATAACCGCCCGATCCTTGGGTACTCCACCCTATATAACCGAGTTTTGAGGATAACCGCCCGATCCTTGGGTACTCCACCCTATATAACCGAGTTTTGAGGATAACCGCCCGATCCTTGGGTACTCCACCCGACCTATGACTTACCACATATCACGCTAGATAGGGTCTATATCATATTTAGTCATTCATAACTAATTCAATACATAAAACTTATGTATCACATTCCATGCAAAGCCATGCAATTATGTAAATGTACAATTAATTAATATCGACCGGTATTAATTAATCCATTATCCACCGGTCAACGTGGTCGTTGACCGCCATTACAAACCTTGTACAAATCAACTTAATCATCACATAATTAAGTTAAAATATTCATTTGTGCTTCTAATACACTTCAAGCAAATATGCATTCTATATAATTCTTCTTATCATATTCTATGCATAAACAATCTATTTCTTTCATACAAACTTAACCCTATTGGCTAATCACATGTTTAAATATCTTTTAAACATCATTATGAATTCATATAACATTTATTTAGGTAATCTTATAATTAACCCAAAAGTTATAAGATATTAAGCCGTCCACTCACCTTGAACTAGCGTTATGAAGTTCTACCCCTCTTGGTGGAACTCCGGTGAAACTCCGGCGACTTTCGGTCAACTCCGGCGACAACTCCGGCGACTTTACCAACTTTGTGAAATCACTTGAAATACCTTTCACAAGTTCCTAACAAGGTTTTATAATCATAAAACCCATATTAATACAAATAACTTCAAAACGGTTATTTTCCGGTGAACCGGTCGTTTTGGCTTCTAAGTCCGTTCTTGGACATAGAATCATTTTCCAACCCATTAATCCATACTTATAACATGTAGAACCCCCTTAAGGATTCTTCACATGATATATATCTCATATGGTAGAAGGAAAATAAAGAAAAAGTTATAATAAGGTCATTACCTAAATCCTTTCACACTTTTAGCACTTTAGCTCCTTTTCTTGGGATTCCTTCTTGTTGAGCTCCCTTCAACAATGGAGAAAGGAGATGGAGAATTTTCTTGGCTTCTTTTCTTGAGGTTCTGGCCGCAGGGGTGAGGGGTGAGGGAAGGTGAGAATAGTTCTTTTGACTTAATGATCAAATGAGTGTGGATGGGATCCACCTCAATTTGTTTGATTCCTATTCTTTCACTTCATAACCTCTCCCATGCCTCCCATCTTACACCAGCCGACCAATGCCTTGAGAAATGAGGCTAATTTCGTGGGTTGGCCCCCACCCATGTGGGAGGTCAACCCTTTTTGTCCAGAAGTGTACAATCGGTCCCGAAAGTTGTATTTTTCGGACTGTTTTAATCATAATTTATTTTATCGGGTAAAATAAAATATATTATGTGTTCCCAATCATAACGCCCCTTGAAATAATATATATTCCAAAACTTTAATTTGGAAGTCTCCGAAATTCATTTTCGGGCTGTTATCTGTTTAATTGTCGGTACCGGTAATTGGGCTTCTTTTGACCAATCGGTCAACTCTGGGCCTTTCCATGGCCCAAATGAAATATCCACCACTATATATTTATTATCTAGACCAAGATGAATAAAATATATGGTCTCGGGAATGTCGGGCGGCCCCCGCTCCCGGTGTGGGTCCCACGTGCAATTTACTATTCACGCGAAAGAATTAATAAAAATTTACAACTTCGTAAATTCGTAAATCCTTTAATAAGGTTCATTACATTATTTACATAAAAGTAAATATATTTGGGGACGGTGTTACAATCACAGATACTCTCATGGAGATGTCACATGTTCAAATACCATTGCAGTTCAAAGATGTTGACATTAATATTGAACATATACTCGTGCTATAATAAATTGGCAAATACACCAAGAAAAATCAACCACTGTTGAAGGAAATTTTATGTTGTGTACTATTGTTTGGATAGAATATGTATTAGTGTCCTTCTATGTAAATTATGTATTATGGGCCTATTGGCCCATACTTGTAAATCCTACTTTATCCCTATTTATAGGGGCATTCAGTAATGAAATTCTTCACACAATTCTCCCTAGAACAACCACAATTTTATTATCTAGAATTAAGTGCAAAAAGTAAACATGTTGACAAATGAGAGAGAGATGAATAATTAACTTAAATAAATAGTTATCAAACGTTTTATAATTATGAATTCTTAGTTCTAAAAATTATTTATTACAAGTATATTTGAAATAAAATAGAACGTGATGATTTTACATCAGTTAAACATTCTCTGATATATGTCTACAAATACATCTCATAACTAGAGAAAGAAGTTGTGTTATTGAGGAAATAACATACTCTAGCACACAAATTGTAGTTGAGGTGGTGTAAATTGTAAAAGGGGACTGATGCTGAGGTAAACAAAGTTGTGCCGTACAATTACATTATAAAACTTTAGATCTATAAAAAGAAAATGTAACGACTCCACTGGGGATCGAACCCAGAATCTCTGGTTTCGTAGACCAGCGCCTTATCCATTGGGCCATGGAGTCCTGTTGGTCTAGTTATAGCTAGAGTTTTATAAATCAGAAAGAATCTTATGCAAGTTCGTTAAAATGCTCACATCGGGCTCAAATGTCTAGGTTCAAACAAAATAATGTTGTGCAAGTATATGCATTAAGAACAGAGTTTTCAATGTCCAAGACTCCAAGTACGAAGATTATCTAGAATAGGACCGTCTTTGGTATAACGAGAGATATTTGAGAAAATCAAATTATTTTTCTTTACTTTCATAATTTCCTTTTTTATTTTTTACACATGAAGGAAAAACTATACGAGCCCAAGGTGATCAATTTAGTCAAACCAACAAATACATTTCAAAATACATATATGGTAGTTCACTCGGGAGAGTTATACAATACCTCAGTAACTTTAACATTTTCACCTGCACTAAATATCTTTAAAATTGCTTTAGAACCAGTGGTAGTTTGGTAGACTGGACTAGATGTGATGTAATCAAATATATTGGCGGTACAAACTTGCAATACATATTAGTTTGATCACATTACATCATTACATTTCACATGCCAAACTACGCCTTATGTTTAGTGTTTTGCACAACATACTAAAGTAGATCCTCTGAAATTTGACAACTCAAGACCAAATACCAATATGGTCCACTGATAGTTTATCTGGACATTCAAAAGACTATTGTGCTCTCAACTGTTCAAGGTCATAACTCTATGCATCTATGTATAGAAACTCTAGGACACATAGAGTTGGGTGTGAGTATCCTCACCAAAAGTACATTCAATTTACAGTAGTCTGATATTTGGTCATCAGCAGTTCTCACCATCTAAGATGTGGTTGAAAGAGATGTGTGATAACATCAAAGCAAAGTTTGAAGATATTAAGACCACGCTTGATAGAAGACCATATCTGCCAAACAAAGTTTCACAAGGCGCCATAACTTCTCAGGTTCTTACCCTTTTGATTTTCAAGGGGACAGCGATTTAAGCCTTCACGACATTTGCCCATCTTTAACTTCACCACGGTTAATATTAATGTTATTGTGATTGTGATGCTTTTACTTGGGCGATCAACTTCTCGCGCTGTTTGTGGAGATAAGCCTGCTTCAGTTTCTCCCTACGCGCAGCAATTTGTTCTTCCCTACGCATTTTCAGTTCAGATGCTTTTTGCCTGGCTTCACTCGCTTCTTCATGAACTTCCCTGAACAAACCCATCCAAATCATATAAAAATCAAGAACCTCTAAATGAAAAAAAATATTGTGGTCCAATTGCATAGAAAATTTGCCTTTCAGAATTTCTCTTGGTGGGTGGGATGTAGACATAATAGTTATCTTATCAGCTATATTTTCTATTAACGTTGATGTATTTGACTGAATGACTCTGTATTTTGAGGTTTATAACATGCAGTATAAAAATATTTCTTTTGCTGGCATGAAAATAAATGATGCTTTTACCTTTATTTTCATTGCTTATGCGTGTACATATACATATACCCATTTACATATACATATACATTTATACATATAAACAATAAACAAATATACATATATATACGATAATTTGGATCAAATGAGAATATGGTCTAACGAGAGAATTTGGGAATGAATCTGAGCGTTGAATTTGAGAGTTGTGAATTATGTGAAACCAAAATGTGCATTGCCATGGATGACAAAAACGTGGTTGCATTTTTGTATAAAGTGAACTTTTCTATTGTTGTGAAGTATGCATTATCTCAACTTGAAATGTGTATCTCCATGAATCAGAATGTGCGCCATTCTCATTTTTCACAGGAAGAACATCTACCTCTCTCATTAGAACCGGACCCTATATACATACATAAATAATATATATGTAGGGATGGGTTTAAGTAAAAAAAAATAGTGCTCTTATGAAGAACAAATCTTGGACATTAATCCCTTCAAAATGGATGACTTAGATGAATTTTTAATCAAAAGACATAGAGGAAAAACAATGTGCAAATGTTCATAAGTTATACCACAAATGGATTGTTTATAGGATAAAAGTGCAGTCATAAATAGGGGTGGGCAAAAATACCGAAATATCGGTATACCGCACTTACCGTACCGAAAAATACCGGAAAATACCGAAATATTGGTATACCGTCATTTTCGGTACGGTATCTTACCGTACCGATCTATTTCGGTACGGTAACGGTAAATGTTTTCCAATACCGCGGTATACCGGTATAATACCGTACCGACTCTCTACTCAACAATTACTTTTAATTCTAATATATTATAGAAATCCATTACAATTTTAAAGCCAAAAATTAATACTTAAGTTGGTTACAAATACAAAAATACAAAAATAAAGGTCCAATTTCACAAACTCACTATAAACTTATAGGCTTCTACTACGCTAACCTTAATGACTAATGAGTAATGTACAAATGTCAAGAAACAAGTCTATCATGTTCCAAGAGCTTGCAAGTCGTGATGGCTGAGCCGCTAAGTAACTGACGAGTGAAGAGAGATACACTTATGTGACAAGTGTATTTACATAGGGATTCCACGAGTCGAGACACACAACTTTGTCCGAAAGTCTTATTCAATTTTTAAAAAATTATAAAAATGAACGAATACACAATATCATATTAGGAATAAATGATTTATATCCATGTTGTTTGAATAGTTTTATTTTTTTGTTAGAGATCACTATTGATTTAATTATATCTATATCGTTTAAGTTATTTTAGGAGAATGTGTAACTTTTTAATATGTGGCATGTTGAACCCCTAATAATAGATATTCTTCAATATTGAATTGACATCAATAGATTATTAATTGTATTTCGTAACATTTTAATAATAGATTTAATATGTCGCTAGTAATAACGATTTAGTATATTTCGTTAGTCAATGATAATTTTTTGTATTGGGAGACATGCACGGTAACTTACCGGTACCGTACCGTTACCGAACCGAAACATCGGTATACCGAAATGCGGTATACCGAAACTTCGGTAAGGTAAAGGTATGCAAATTTTGCATACCGAAAGTTTTGGTATGGCAAAGGTATGAGAAAAAATATAAGGTATACCGTACCGAACCACCCCTAGTCATAAATACTAAAAATGATTATCATATTTTTTTTAAACTTATGCACATTTTATTCTGATGCACTTTTATGATTTACATATACACTTTTTGAATATTATGTTACACTTTGTTACAATAATTTCATTCAAGAATCTTCATAATTACTAAAATGCCACCACATTTCCTACCTCAAATTTGATCCCTTCCACCCATTTTTTCACCTCAATTCTTAATGTTCACCTATGAAGTACTTTTCATTTGAAACAGATTCTCTCTCTCTCTCTCTCTCTCTCTCTCTCTCTCTCTCTCTCTCTATCTCTCTCTATGCATATACATTCAGACAATATCGTCGTTTCTGCCTAAATTTCATCAACTTCAGTCACATTCACCCTTCTATCCAAAGTTTACTCCTTACCAAACAAACCTTTATGGCATTTCTTGTTTTCTAGCATTCTTTAAAAACATCAACCCCTAAAGTGAAAATTTAAGAAATGGTGGGGGGAGCAATCTGTAAAGGGATAGATACTTACATTACAAATCGCTTATGCTCAC